GATATAGTCTACATCTCTACAGTTAATAACGATGGGGTGACATCTGGTTGGTTTCTGCTTTTTAGGGGAACGTGGAGATCCCATTTGCTCTGCCCGCCTATTACAGGGTTTCCGCAGGTCATTAAAAATCATTAAAAGTCATTAAGTAATACATTTTTACATTAAACCCTGTATTAGAATAAACCTTAATATTTGTGGATTTGTCGCTCATATGCACAGGGTTTCCTTTTTTCGTTGAAGACAGCATTTTATTTTTTACCAATCGGCTCCAATTCACCTGGATACAAGATTAACCTGGAAGAAAGCAAAGTTTTGATGCTGTTACTATTAAAAGGATGTACACTTTGAAATGGTTTCAATTTAGTAAAACTTTAACCTTTACCTAAAAAATTATTTGGTAGAATAAGTGTTATATATGTGGGATTTCCTTTTTTCCTCTCTTAGGGCCCTGTCACCCCTTGCCGATTTAGCCCGTTTATGCCCGATGTCCCAGAATCTCCTAAAACGCTGGCACACGCTGAACTTTCTATGTTTTTTTGTTTTGTTTTTTTCCCCCAATTTTGGGCATATACATAGCGTATTCATAATGAGTCCAGAACTTATGTCCAACAACAGCCTAAGGCTACGTTCCCACTGCCGCTTGAAGTGACCCAAATCCGATTTTTTTTGGCCCGTATGCGACCTGGATCTGATGTTTTCATGGCAGTCTGAACAACACAGATCCGATTTTTTCCAATCCGACACAGGCCGCTTGGCTATGTGGTCCTGAATCCGATACGAATCTGATCTTTTCAAATGCGACCTGTGTCTGAACGTCCAGGTTGCATTCATCCAATCTAAACGCCATTAATACCCGACATAGGTCACTATTCTGCTGCTTGCTACAGAGAAGCAGCAAGAAAAACAACAACCTTGGCAGACAATGATGCAGAGAGCAGTATTTATGTTTAAACATCTTGAAAACATTGAGGTTTTTAGGTGTGGAAAGATCGCTGGATGCGCTCCAGCACTACATCCATGTTTACTTCCGTAAACACGAAGCACGCTGGCTTGTGACGTCATTGCGTCCTCTAATGCCCATGCGGGACACTTAAGCTGTATGACTGCAGTTTACACAGGAGATCACTGACAAGTCGCATATATTTGTAAATGTGAACGGCAACGCAAAAAAATCTGATTTCACAAAAATATCGGAATGGTGCATCAAGGCGTGACCGTAGCTTAACTTATGCATAACGCATGGCAGCGTAATGCCCATAAAATTATGCACAAGCCAGTGTTACCTCCAAAGTTGATATGCGTTGGAGATAAGTTCTTAAAAAGTTACGCATAATTTGTGCATAAGTTAATCAGAAGTTTTCGATAAGCTAGACACCATTACTTATGCGTGAGTCCCATTTAATGTATGGCAACGATCAGATAACTTACCTTTAACTTATGCTCCACATACTGCCATACTTTGGCACACGTCCGGAAAGTTTGAGCATGCTCAAAGTTTTTCGACCTACTTGCTGTATGTCATGTTCAGCGTGCTCATAAATTGTACAAAATGTACCCATAACTTAAAAGCTGTTTGTTTTTTTTTACATTGGGCCCTTGATTTTACGTTATTACATCATGTTCTACTCACCCATAATAGTTTTGTGTCATTTGGAACTGTTCTGAAGATAATTGGGTTAGGTTATATCCAAGCAGAGTGTGTATGACGTCATCCACGCCCCGGACTGGAGTTGTGACAGGCAGCCCGGGCCACAGTCGGCTACGCTCTACCCCTTATATTCATTCTGCTAGCTAATCTGATTCGTTCAATTCCACTTGGAGAGCGAGATCATCTGTGGTAGCAGCACTAGACATCTTCCAGACATGTGAGGAAAACTAGCAGCAGTTCAGCAGACAGGATGAAGGAACGGTAGCCGGCGTGCGCGAATGATGTCATACACACTCCGCTTTGTTTAAAAAATATATAAATATAAAAAATATAACCGCGGATGTCTGGGGGACAGTGATTCGCCTACATGTTATGAATGCTGGCGTACCATAAATGATAAATTATGAACAGTTCAGTTAGTGCCTTCAAGTCGTTGCCCATAGGAAGACGTTACTTGGATATAACCTGACGGAATATCTTCAGAACAGCTCCAAACGAGACAAAACTCATATGGGGGAGTAGAACATGATGTAATAACGTAAAGATTTTTCATACGTCAGGCATACACCGTTCTAAATTCGTGAAGGTGTGACAGGGGCTTTAGAAAACAATCAGGAAGTTTATTTCGCATGATGGGACCAACTGAAGACAAACTATCACTGGAAAATGAAGGCGGACCAATCAAAGAGCATGTTGGAGGTCAGCTCCCATGTCTCTGGTCGAGTATGTGTGTCATGAAGGCCAGCCATTATTTTCTAATTGTGTTCAGCCCTCATGTTGACTAATAATAGCCGTTGAATAGTTTGAGAATTAAAAGTTTGAGAAGGACCTGCAATATCTATCAACTAAAAAAAAAACCGGCTCCATGCAGAACAGAAGGGAGAGCTTCTGCGAAACATGGCAGCCATTTTTAAGCTTTATGGGAAACAGAGCATCAGTGGTGGAGACTAACCTCCCTGGACTCCAGCTGGGCTCTATGGGCAGCGGTTATACTATCCGTCTGTCGCTGCAGCTCTGACTCCTAAATTGTCAGTTAACAATTGAAACCTTGTTCTGAACAACTCCACTCATTTTAAAACTAAGAATGTACCAGGGATGAACAGAAACACCAGTTTTAGTTTATTGAGAGGCTGGTTTGCCTCCTTAGCAGATTTCTACAAACATTACTTAAAGTGCAAACTTGTTTCTCTGGCTTTGAGTCCCACAGGGACCACTCTGCTCCCAGGGTGATGAAGTATAAATAAAGTTCAACAGGAAGGGATATTTCCTCCCCCTTAGACACACAGCATTCAGACTGCCATCCTGAGCTCAGTTTGGTGCTTCGATCCTTCTGGACATCATCATGGCCCTCTTGATCTGCTCGAATGAGACGAACATGACGACGTTCCAGGATCCCAGTCTCAGAAACGAGGGTACGAACCTGGAGAAGAGGAAACAAACCAACTTAGGGATATGTATGCTGCTTCACTTCCACTGTGAGTCTGTCCCATCCTCCTGGATGGATCCATGTGTGTTACAACCAGAAACGATTATTTAGTGGATTTATGTAACACTGCTGAGAAAAGGTTTTCAATCAATCACAAATGATGGGCTGGGAAATTAATCCATGCACTAGAATTCCTAATTTGGATAGTTAAGAACAAAGGGGATGGAAGGAGTCTGTGAGGCCTGGACTTTGACTAGGCCGCTCCAACCTTCCATCCTGAACAATGCTTTTAGCTCTGGCTGCATGTCCAGGCAAGGTCTGCTGCTGAGTATCTGGTTTATCTGACAGCTTCAGAGTAAATGGGGGTAAAAAAAACATGTCAGACTTTCCTTGGGTGTTGAGATGATCCAATTACGAGCAGGTGAACAGAACGTCTGGTTTAGTGTGTCTGGGACCGGCTCACCCTTTGTAAAACGCTGTTGGTCCCTCTTTAGTCATCATGGTCCAGGCGCAGTTGATGGCACTCCGGTACTGGCCTGGAGGAGAGTTCATGTATCGTGTTTTCACCACATCTACTGGGGAGGCGATCACTGTGGTGACGAAGCCCGCTCCGAAAGCAGACACAAAGTGGCAAGGCAGGTTATCTGTGGAGAGATAAAAGAGGATCCGCTCAACACTGAGCTGTTTGTTCTGGCCTGTCAGCAGTTAGTTTATCTTCTGAGTGGAGCAATGAGGACGGTTCTGATAAATCTCACATTAACTAGAGCATTTACAGCTCTGCCCAGGGACACTTATCAGCTGGAGGGGGCATGGCAGTTTGGGCCAATCGCTATTCCCCCTCTCTGACACACAAGTCTGATGAAAAGACTGCAGGTAAGGCAAATATAGCTGGAAGTTCATGTTACAACTCAAATATATGGCAGGTAGTTGGCAAATTTAATCCAGCTGCGCGTACATTTTTAACAGTTGTAACAGAACAGGATTTTGAAATGGAATTTTTTTCTATTTTAAAAATCACATACAGATATTTTAAAGTAGGAAACAAATTATTTTGATTTTTGTGGAAAATTAATCTATGATCCATATCAGTTCTGAAATAAATGTCCCTTTTCTATGAAACCATCAGATTATTGCCTTTTCTGGTTCGATTGTCTCAGAAACCATGTTTGTTCACGAGCTGCAACCTTTCATCTACCATTGCTAGTCCCTTTCTGGATTTCAAATAGACTTTATCATCAGAGCAACCCATATTAGACGTCCATTTAAAACTATTTTTAAAAAGCAACATTTTAATTATCAGACATGAAATTAACTTTCTGCAGGTCCTTTTCATCAAACTCTGAAATACTCAAAGTTATGTTATAAATCTAGATCAGAGGAACCTGCTGTGGTTCAATGTTTGGATAAGTAACTGTCCAGACATCTGTTTTATAAAGCAGGTTTAATGAAAACCTGAAATCGGGTTTCAGGTTTTCTCAACCTCTGTCTCTGTTACCATAGTAACATCCTCCCCAGAGCTAAACTGGTCAGCAGCAGGTGTCCTCTGCCTCCTTAAAGCCAATCACGTTTTATTTCCTGATTTAATCAGCAGAGTCCTGTCGTAGTTTTGTGCAACAATGAAAATAAAATCAATAGCTCTGTTAGATACATTCAGTGTTAAAAACACAAGCTTAGCATGTCTTTTTGAGGAGGATCCAATTAAAGAATGGGGGGCATTAATTCACAGAGAATCAAATATTAGGGAGAGGGTTCTCAGACTGCATATAGATGTATTTTATTTTCAGAAAGTTATCTTTGTGAGCGCTACTGTTTCACCTAACAGGCAGCATTCCACAGATCTCTTTAACAGAATAACTCATGTTATCAAAGGAGAAGTATAAAGGGGTTTTGTTATGCAGGTCGCATCGGTCAGCATCCTACCTGCTGCAGGACTAGCAGATGGTGAAAACTGGGCCTGGCTTGGTGTTGTCCACTGATTAATTCATTGGGTTGGGTCGATACAGAACAGCTCTGGGTAAGGACCCAGACCACAAGGTCCCACAAAGAGATATCCTTTTAAACTGGTTTTCTCATTTTTAGACTCAGCTCATGTTCAGATCACTTAACATTTAGGTTATGGATTAAACAAAATCATAAAGGAAAGCCAAAGAGGACGTCAACGGTATCTATCTCGCCTCTTTTACATGTGTGGAGGTTCCCCCCATGTGGGCATCAAATTGGCTTTGGATGATGGGCCAGTGATCACCTAAAATCCCCTAGCTAAATACCTCCACCTTCATCTTGTATTAATTCAGTTTATTGAATCGCTCCAATTAACAACACATCTGAAGGAACTTTAAAAAATACAAAACACTAATTAGATGGTTGTTTACCAATAGTCCCCTGCTCCCTTAGATCATCTGGTTCTACCACTGTGTTATTATTCAAGCTGGGCATGCTTACAACAACCTGTTTTATATTTATAGCAGCCTTGTTTCAGATTTTTCTTTTTGGTTTTAAAAGAAAAAAAGGGTATTTTAGAAAAAAAATATTGTTTTTTAGCTCAAAGTTGCTTTTCCATTCTCAGTACCTGTTCCACAGAGGTGCACCACCAGTTATGTTCATGTAAAAATGATCAACTTTGAAATTTCCACCCAAAGCACAGATGAAACATTTATAAAATATCATTTCCATAGAAACCAAAGTTTCTGAAAAGGTTGATTTAAGATGTATGATTCTCATCCCAGCTTCATACTAAAGTGAGAAGCTTAGAGAGTTAACCCCTGCGGCTACGATGCTACCAGCTTATAAATTTTGGGTAGAACCACAGAAAAACATCTGGGACCTGGAAGTAAGCCTTTTTTTGTCCCAGTGTTGGGCTATGAACACCTGGAAATAAAATGAGTCTAAAAAGGAAAGAAGTTGATCCTGAAAGATTATGACTCATCCATCATTGAGAGGATGAAAGACACACTGCATCACTAGAAGCTCTTTGACACTCAGAGGAGAAAAAAAAAACAGGAGTATCAACTCTTAAGGGCCTCCCCTATGTTTATATTACATAGTGTGTTGCCATAGTTTTCTGCAGCCTTGGGGATTCCTACCTGACAGCAGCTGGTGTTTGAGGATGGCCTCTTTGATCAGGTCGTACGTAACCAGTTCTGTGCAGTTAACCAATGCATTTCTAGTGATGTTGGGTAAAGTTCCTGGAAAGCATACACATGCATTCGAAGAGTTATTTTTTTTCTGTGGATCTTGTCCCTTCATGATGTGGGGAGCATCATCTGACCTTTCCACAGGCCTCGTAAGCCTTCGTTGAGGAAGATCTGTCTGTAGGCTTGCATAGTGCCATTGTAGCGCCGAGCTACACCGTTTAGGTTCATCTGAGCCTGGAAGCGAACCTTGACCACGTCAGTGGGTTGTGCAAACGACACAGCCATGGCTCCCGTTGTGCAGCCGGCCAGGATCCGTATTAACACACCTGGATCTGTAGGGAGAGGCAGAGAAGGGCTTTGGGAGGAGCTCAGCTTGATTCTGTTACATGTGAAAGTCCTTTAGAAACAATATTTAGGATAAATTACACCTAATCAGCTATGCATCGAATAACTGTTTCTAAATCATGGTTACCATGAAGTTAGTTTGATTTCTTTCATACACCAAGAATGAAGAATCCTTTAAACATCCTAATTGTCCTTAAAGATAGATTTTTCCCTTTGAACTTTTGTTATCCAACCCCTAAAACAGCCTTTCTTGGCCTTCACTGTAGATGGGAACTTACTGTCTTTGCCACCAGTGTAGAAGTTTTTCACGTTGTCATAGAGGCCGATTCTGATGGAGGCAAAGCAGAGCTGCCTCTGCAGCCCGGCCACCAGCCCGTTATACAAGGACCTGGGGCCTTCTGTTCGGACCATGGTGCTGATGGTCCCAAACACCCCTCTGTAGCGGATGCCTCCCACCGCCTGTTTCTCCCCTTGAATCTGAAGAGTTAAAGATGAGCCACTTAGAGGTTGGGGAAAAACTCAGGAGGTAAATCTGCTCAGACATCAATATATGTTTCAAGCTGATGGAGAGCTGCTAGTTTGCACACTGATGAGCAGGTACCTGTAGTCTGACTTTGGCCGTGTCCAGAGGAAAGGTGACCATGTCAGCTATGCAGGCCGCTGCTCCGGCGCTCGCCATCTTCACCCCAAGGGGAGGAGGCACATCTGAGGGTTTGAATCCCACCATGTTTCCTGCCTCTGCAGACAGATGCACATGGATGCAGACATGATCGGATTTCACATAAAGTCAGAGTTACGAAACACACTTACTTTGTGTAGGTAATAGTTAGAGGGTCTTTTTTTGGTCCTAAGATGTTACCAGGCAGGGTTTGAAGGACCAGATGGTAATCCTTGAAGTGCCCCTCTAGCGCAGAAAGGGAAGACGCATTTCTCCCTCTGCATTTATGTATTTTCGGACTGGCTTGTTTTTATGGCTTCTACAGAGATGCGTCACTGTGTGCCTCTGTATGCCCAGTTCAATCAAAGTCCACTCACTGTGAGGTAATCAGTGTTCACTTCACCTCCCTGGGCTGACGCCTTCCAAGAAAACAAAGTAACAACTGCTCAGAGAAAAACATACATTTTCTTAACTTATCTTAAAATCTTTTATATTGTTGTTAAAAATGATTGCCACATTTGCCCGCTTGAATCCGGTGAGAACAAGTTTGTGTCAGCAGATTTCCTCCATCTGTCATAATTGTACAGTTATAGGTAATAATTTACACTGCTGGAACATTGCTGATATACCTGTGTGCTATCTGTTGGTTTTCTGGAGGCTTGTCTGGGCTCTCGGCCAATGGCAGCACAAACATACGACCAGCAGTGTAACAAACAAGATCCCCAATTTGCTCTGCAGACTTTGCAGTATCTACAGCATGAGGTCACGTTGGGATTTGTCAGCTGTGTTACTGTAAATATATCTGTTAATTCATACACGTCTCGCCTTTGTTCTGTTCTTTTTCGTCAAATCAAATGTAAGAAATGGTCGAAAGTGCTGACGTGCATCATTGACTGAAGTTCACTCTAGAGAAGATAAGAGCTTCAAAATCACATCGTTTTTGGCAGCAGCTGAGTCTGTTTAAACAATAGTGAATGTATGCCATAGGCAGTGCTTTGCAGAGTTATGCATAACGTTGAAAACCGTATTTAGATTTTCTATGTTTCAACCTTGTTTCTAGAGATTTTAATTACAAAGTGGAAGAAAAAAGGTACTTGAGTTTCTGGTTTTAAACAAATAAAAATGTGTGTATGTGCTGAGCCTCTTTAGTTTGACACCTTTTGAAATAATCAATCGCCAGTTCTGCCCGTCCAAACTAGCCTAACCTGGCAGGGGATGGGGGCCAGATGGGGGCAGTTTTTGCTGGCGTCAGAGGCAGGGTAGACCCTGGACAGGTCAGGAGTCCATAACAGGTTAACAAAGAGACCAACCACCAGAGCATACTAATATCTAAGGAGGATTTGGAGACAACAATTAACCCAAGGTTTTAGACTGTGGATGTACACTCACTGGCCACTTTATTAGATACACCTGTCCAACTGCTCGTTAACACTTAATTTCTAAGCAGCCAATTACATGGCGGCAACTCAGTGCATTTAGGCATGTAGACATGGTCAAGACAATCTCCTGCAGTTCAAACTGAGCATCAGTATGGGGAAGAAAGGTGATTTGAGTGACTTTATACGTGGCACTGCTGATCTACTGGGATTTTCACGCACAACCATCTCTAGGGTTTACAGAG